CAGAGTTCATCTTAAAGAGCTGCCCCGCTCTGACCTCTCCTCTCCCTCCCTTCCCTCAGCCACGACACTGGGCACAACCGGGACAAGGCAAAGGCCTCCCGCACCATGCTGGGCCCCCACCCACGCCACCACGGTGCCCTTCGGCCGGGCACTGCCCTGGCCCTGCGCAGCCCCAATGCCCCATCAGGTGTCCTCCAGCACTCGCTGCTCCTATCTATAGCGTTGGTGTGTCATAGCAAGGGGCGTTTCGCAGAGATCGGGCACAAAAGGGTGGTTTCTGTTTCCAAAAAAAAAAGGAACAAGAAACAAATGCATTATCTGTCCAATTCCTGTGCAGTTACTGCTGTAACAGTCACCAGCTTTGAGGACTTTTTTTTTTTTGTGATTTGATACATAAACCACATTTCCTATGTAGCACTGCCACTATTTTTTTATCAGTTTTTTGACATTGAGCTCGGTAACGTGGGGGTTTTTTTGCCTTTTCCACCAGAATGAATTCAAAGGCAGCAAACGCGGCAAAACCAGAATACCGCTCATCTCGACTTTTCCAAGCAGCTAGTTTTCATTAGAAATAAAGGAAAATAAATACAGATCACATTTTCTGTCCTGCAGTTAAAAGCCTGCCACAGCTGAAAGCTTTGCTTTCTTCTTCCCCTGCAGCCTCACTCAGCCCGCACTCCAGCTCCGCTCATGATCTGAAATGTGCAAACACACAGTTTCTTGGCTTTCCACCAGTATATATAAATATATGTAATTTTTTCCTTCGGAGAACCTGGAGGCTAAAGCAAGAGGGCAAGGGAGTACGTGACTAAAACATCCAAACTTCCTCTTTCATAAGCCATCACATGATGGAGTGCAATTACAATTCCTGCCTTGTCCCTGCCAATTGCAGGCGCATTGCCTCACCCGAGAAACCCGGCTTCTTCCCCCGTATGTGTGTGAGTGAGTGTGTGTGCGAGTGCGGAGGCAGCAAGCGCTGCAGCCGGCTTGGCGAGGCTCCAGCTTCGGGCTGGAGAAAGAGGGCAGTGGGTGGAAGACGAAAACAAAGATCTGTTTACTTAGCATGCATGGATAAAGCGTCTTTCCAGCCGGGGAGGGGAGGGGGGAAGAGAAACAGCTTTAAAGGACTTTGATGCAATGTGAAAGGAGGGCTGCTCGGGGAAAGCGAGCCCATGTTAACCCTTGGCTCTCCGGGGGCGCGTCCGGTGCTGCCCCCTTCCCCCTCCTCCTGCCCCCCGCCCCGGCCGGCTGCTGCAGCTCGGCTGCGAGCCCTGCGGGGCTCGGGGCCGGGCCAGGGGAGCCCAGCTCCCGCCGCCGCCGCCGTGGCCGCCGCCCCCGGGGGGGGGGCCGGGGGGGGGGTGGTTT